AATTTTAGTTTTATTAAAACCCTAGGTCTAGCTCTAACCCCTTTGATTTTTCTAATTTCTTGATGTTTAATCTACCTAATATACATGTATTTAAACTAAGGATGAATGAAAATAACTTGCCTCACAATGTTACGTTGAAATCCCTCTTTGGAAGCTCTCAAATCGCCCAAGTGTAGTGTAAAAAATGAAATAAATGCTCTTCAGTCCCGTTTTTAAAACCCTTCCCAGCCCTCTGATGTCGCAATTGCGACACAGGGCTCGCAATTGCGACTCCTGCCCAGTCACCCCAGCTTCGCAAATGCGATGACCAACTCGCAATTGGGAGTTCGCAATTGCGAACAGTGTCTCGCAATTGCGAGACCTGCAGCAGGGATCAAAAAATACCAGAAAACTGGTATGTTTTCTCAACTCCAACTATGCTCGAATCTCACCCGAACCCTCGGGGCTCCACTCCGAACACTCATACCAGCCCTACAACCATGTGCAAACTTGCTCAAGCAATCAAGTCGCATAATTAACACCTAAAACTATGGATTTACACCAAAAATGCATGGAATCCTCAAGAACACCTAAATTCCTAACTTTTCAACCAAACATCTGAATCACGTCAAATCAATCCCGTTTCTCATCAAATTTCACAGACGAGACTAAAATATTATATCGAATCTGTACCGGGCTCCGGAACCAACATACGGGCCCGATATCAATGTGAGCAAGCATTTTCCTTTTTATTAAACTCTTAGGATTTCAGTTTGACAATTTTTCAATAAAAATTCATTACTCGGGCTAGGGACCTCGGAATTCGGTTCCGGACACACGCCCAGGTCCCATATTTTCCCACGGACCCTCAGAAATTGTCAAATTACGAATCCGGGTCCGTTTTCCCAAAATGTTGACCGAAGTCAAACTTGATCTTTTAAGAAAGTCTTAAAGAAGCAAATAAGCATATTTTACTCAAAACCCTTCCAATTCCCGAACCAATCGCCCCTGGAAGTCGTAAATTAGTTAAAGCAAGTATGGGAGGCTTTATTTATTGGAACAGGGTTCAAAAAAGCAAAACGACCGGTCGGGTCGTTACAAAACCCTAGTAACAATTATCGGGGTTTGAATCCTTTTCATATTGTTTCACCCATAATGTCTTATTTGAACTTCAGGACACAATTATGGGATTCTAACTTCAACAAGTTGAAACTCAAGGATATTATTCTTGAATTCAAAAGAGGTATCATGAGGGAAAGAATCCTTTTAGTTGAAACTACGAATCGTTCCTGAATTTTACACTAGTAAAGGTTCGGAAATCAGGAATTATTCTAGAGTTTCAAACTCCAATACCGATTGCTGGAGTTGTATTATGTTTTTTAGTTGGGGGCAAAAAATATTAATTTAGTCGGACCAATGACTACTTTGCTTATGCATTTGAAAAGTTGGCTAAACTCTAACAGCTCGCCCAAATAATAACTAACCCAACTAATTTTTTTCGTGACATAAAGCGTATAACAATTCCATTTTTTCAACCCATTTACACTACTAAAAAAATCTGTTTACCGACGCAGCAGTACCGACAGACATTTTTCCATCGGTATTCCGAAAGACTTTTCGACGGAGTCTCTCGATACTTTTGAATTTTTTGATTTCTAATTTTTTTAAAAAGGAACCGACGGACTTCCGTCGGTAAATAATGATATTTTGACCGGTCAAAAATTAAATGGTTGTACCGACGGATTCCGTCGGTAAATTACCGACGGACTCCCTCGGAACATTTTGTATTTATATTTTCGAATTATTTTTTTAGGGTGTCTGTCGTTGCTTTTAAAAAAAATAATAAAAAAGAAAATAAAGTTATCCACGTACTCCATCGCTATTGCATTTATATAATATTTTGAATTTTGTTCTTACAGTACCGATGGACTTCCGTCGGTAATTTAAATATATAATCTTATGCATAATTATTTTTTATTTTTTATTACATAATACCGAAGGAGGCCGTCGGTAAGTCCCTCGGTAAGTATTTACTTAATTATCTTGGTGGTTGATTAGCCTATTTATTGAAATTTACACTAAGTGAAGGTAATTACAATACTTAAAAATATATTAGTGGTAATTAGCTTAGTAATTTATAATTACACAAAGTAAAAGTAAATTTGTAGTATCCTTAACTACATTGATTAACCTATACATTAATAATTACACGCTAAGAAGAATTGTATTATGTAGTTGTTTCCATAAGAAATATTAGTGATGATTTATCTTATAAATTAATAATTACTGTAAGTAGAAGTGTATTAATGGTGTCTTTAAGTAACTTTTAATAATTTATTATTATACACATTGATAATATACTAGGCAAAAGTGTATTAGTTGTATTTAGCTTGTATATTGATAATTACACGAAATATAAGTGTATTAATAATATACCTATAAGTAATGTTGGTGATTGATTAGCCTATATACATTGGTATTAGCAATAAGTATTAGTGAACTAGTGGCATCCTTATATAAGCCACGTTAGTGATTGATTAGCTTATACATTGATAATATACACTAAATAGAAGTGTATTAATGCTATTTGTGAAAAATGTTTGCGATTGTTTATCTTTAGTTTGATAATTAAAGTAAGTAGAGGTTTATTAGTGTATAGGGTCGAATTTGACCAACTACGTTCTTTAAGACAGCACGACCGACCGAGTGTCCGTGAGCCCGGTTAGAAGAGCGACCTATGAGCAACAAGAGGGCGACTCCATGACCACGCCGGCCTCCCTATAATATGTACTTTATTCTTTGTCTTTTGTATTGAAGTAAGGATCCTCTATTATATAAAGGGGATCTAAGCTTGGTAAAAAGGACTCTGGGAGATTATAAGAGATACAAGCTCTCTTTCTCTCTCTCTCTCTAACATTGTCTCTCTTATATGATAGAAGTGTATCATTTATTCTAAATTTTGTTCATCTCATTGTTATATGATCCAATATCCAAGATCATCCTAGAGTTTATTATCTTTCACTACTATTTACCCCTTCATCTATACTGATTGATTTGCTTAAAAAAGTATTAACTTACTTTTGAGTCAAACAATTAGTAGTATCATTAAGTAATATTAGTGGTATCCTGAAGTAATGCTAGTGATTCATTAGCTTATACATTGATAATTATACTAATTAAGTAGAAGTGTATTAGTATAATCTTAACTTAAGAACTATTACTGATTGATTAGCTTATATATTGAGAATTACACTAAGTAGAAGTGTATTAGTAATATTAGTAAGAAATGTTGGCGATTGATTATCTTATATATATATATATACAAAAANCGAAATATAAGTGTATTATTAATATACCTATAAGTAATGTTGGTGATTGATTAGCCTATATACATTGATAATGGCACTAAGTATTAGTGAACTAGTGGCATCCTTATATAAGCGACGTTAGTGATTGATTAACCTATACATTGATAATTATTCAATTCTAACTCTTCGTGTGTTTTTTCCACTTCTCTTTTGTGGATTACAAGGTATTGGGACATCCGCCACAGTGCAAAATGAGGACCTTGAGGAGATGCGGCGAACAATTCAACAACTTTCTAGGAATTGTGCCGATGAACGAGAAAAAAGAAAGCATGAAGAGAAGATTAGAGACGCACTTAGGAATGACATTGAGTCCCTCAAGGCTCAAGTGAATCACTTAATCGGCTTGCCCCGCTCTCCGCCAAAAAGCCACATTTATGAAGAGGATGAAAGTGATGGAAATAATACAAATGATGAAGAAGATGAGGGGGAACCCGAAGATGAGTGATTTTATATTTGGTTGGATTGTTGTTTAGTTGGATGTTAACTTTGAATGTTACGTTTTGATGTTTGGTTGGATAGTTTTGATGATTGATGGGATAATTTGGATATTTGGATGTTTGATGGGATAATTTGGATGTTTAGATATAGTTTATAAAGTTTTTTTGTTGTTAAGTTGAGTTTTATTGTGGTTGCATTTTAGTTTGTATTGTAATATTCTGCTGGAAGGTGATGCAACAAAAAATAGGCACTGCTTGCCAAAAATGTACCAGATTTACCGAGGGACTTACCGGCAGAGTCCATCGGAATAATTATTCATTTTCAATCCAGAATTTTTTAATTAGCGAGGGAGTCCATCGGTATGCTTGAACCAAATTTTCAGATTTTATTGAAAATATCAACGGATAGCAATCGGAAAATGAATTTATTCATATTTTTAATTTTTATATTACTAAATTATTATTTTTAATTTACCGACGGATCTCCGTCGGTATTGATATTATTATTATTATTATTTTATAATATACCGACGGATATCCGTTGGTACGTAAAATTATTTGACCAGCTATCGTCAGAAATGTACCGATGGCATTCCGATGGGGTCCATCGGTAGGATTTACCTACCAACCACTTACCGACGGATATCCGTCGTTAAAGCCTGGTTACCGACGGACATCCGTCGGTAACTTGCGTCGGTAAAGAGGTGATTTCTAGTAGTAATTATATATTACCACTTACTTGATCTTTTCCTATATAAAAGGGAATCAATATATAACAAAAGAATTTCGTTTTTACCATGTTTGCATAGTATAATTGGATTCAATCCCCTTCCCTCCACTTAGTTCCACCATTGGAAGTTCGTGTGTTATTATTCATCTCATAGCTTCTTATACTTTAAATCTTGCATTACTATTCCGTGAAATAAAGGCATAAAATGTAAAGATATATTTTGGTTAAATCTGTGGGACAATCATGCAGTGCTTTTTGAATGGGTCTTCTGCATGTACTTGCTGGCAACTTTGCGTGCCTTCCTAACCAGAATTTAGGAGCAACTAATAGACCTTTAAAGGTACAAAATGTAAAGATAACTGCTGGAATAATCTTTGGGACAATTGCTTAATGAGTGCAAATATTTCGTACAGTCATCAGACGGCAACTTAGTTGGTCATTTCAACCATTATAAATTCATGTCCTAAATCAGTATCCTTTACTCTTTATTTCCTTCATTTCCTTTCTAGTTCTCATCTTCTTCTTCTTCTTTACTTTCACTATGTCTTCCTCTTCTGTGATCATTCTAAAGAGCTTCGATGGAGAAACTATCGAGGTGGAAGAGAATGTGGTATATCATTCCAAGCTAATCGAACGCGTTTGTCGTACCATCGAAATGAATCCCCGCATTGTTCCTTTGTTTAATGTGAGATACAACATTCTCGCTAAGGTGATTGATTTTATGAAGCACGAAACGGAGCCTCTCATGACCGCGAATGGAGGAGATGTTCGTCGAAGCTTTCATGCTCATTTTCTGGACGATGTTGACAATGATATGATGGTCAATCTTGTCAATGTGTGAATATTCACTTGCTTTTATTACTATTGTTTAATTGATTGGAATTGGTAGTAGTAATCTGTTTTCTACCTTTTCTCAGGCAGCACACTATATGGGAGTTGAGAGCCTGGAAAATTACCTGGTTGGTGCAGTACAAAGGAATTTCAACCAGAACGATGTCAATTCTATTGGAGGATATTTTGCTATACCGTGACGACTCCCTGGACATTTTACTTAGATGTTTTTCTGGATGTTTTGTTGTCGATGTTTTCATGTTGTATGGTTTAATTTAAATAATTTTTATGTTGCAAGAATGATGATGATATTATAATGTTTGACTGGATATGCTAGATATTTTAGTATTCTAACTCTATTTTTAATTGGACCATGTGGTGTGTTAGATTTGTTCTACTTTTCAACCAACTTAAATATGTTGCTCTGAAAGGCTTAAGTAGACTCTGCTTATTTTTAGTCTGCTACTTTCATTTGTAAAACCAAAGAAGTGCAAGCTGGAAAAGTGCTAGTGCATCAACCGGGGCCGGATTTAGGGAGCCTAAAAATTACCCTATATAGGTAAGGCAAAATCTATTTTTTACCTCTATATGTATGTTTTGAATCCCCTTGAAATAACTTAAAAGCATAGCTTAGTGGTCAAGGGGCTCAAAAAATTTATAAGGTCATTGGTTCTATTCCCACTAGCTACAACTTTTTTAACTTTTTCCTTTTCTTGAACCCCTTGGCGATAATCCTGCGCCTCCGCCACTAGCATCAACTAAGGAAATCTGGAGATTCAAAGAGATCCGCTTGAAGAATTTTGAGGGAAGTACCTATCAATTTATAGTCAGTTTGTTATTGTTTTGATGAGTGATCGTGTTTTGGATTTCACACCGCTGACTTAATCAATATAATCTTGGGTAACAACCTTTTGCATGTGAACTGCAAACCAAAAGAGGCTGTATCAGGTAAAAAATATTTGTTAACATGGTTTTGATCTCTATCACTCTATATCTGACTAACTGATATGCTGATTGTCTTTACTGGTCCAACAGCAGTACCCTAAATGTCCTTCAAACATTGCAGCATGGTCATTCAGCAGAGATGGAAGAGGGAGAAAATCCGTAAGGTTTAGTGGAAATTTAACTTTTTACTCCATATTTCACTTAGTCATTAAGACCTGACTGTGATTTACCCTTGCAGCCATGAGCCGGATGCCATAATTATGTGCAGTACAAATGAAGTTGAAGTGAAGGCAAAGCCAAACGTTTTGCGAATCCTATATCACATGAGAACACTATTTCAAAAGCTCCTCGATGGACTCGTTTAGCATGATATTTTGGAAAACAAAAAACTCTATGTTATGCATCTGTAGCAATTACAGTGACAATAGGAGTAAGATGGATAGCACTGACACACGATTTGCATGGGTTTTTGTAATGGATGAGCGCAAACGTAACGACTCAATGAGTTTCTTGCCAACATATTCCTCAGATATTCATGGTTTCCGCTGGATGGCGCCTCCAACACTTAGGTTTATGAACTCAGTTAAGTGCAGCATTAATCTGTTACCATTACTAAAATATTTGAACCCAGAGCGCCGTTTAGATAAACTAAACCTCAAGTAGAAACAAAGGTTGATATGCCATTGCTCTATATTTCAAGATTTAGAATTAACTCAGCAGGTTAGAGAATGACAAAGAAAAAGGCAAATGCATCTATACCGTCAAGATTGACACTTACTGGAGCATTCGTACTGTTGGAGGCATCCACTAGTATATGCAAATTATAATAGTGATACAGCAATAGTATTATTGAGTAAGCCAATTTATTAACAAAATTATATTAGTAACCAACCAATAATAGTATAGCATTGAGTAAGCCAATTTATTATAAATATAAACTAGTACGCCAATAATATGTAACTGTATAAAATCTATATAACAATATCATACCTACTACTGTTTCTTTTAAAAAAATTTAACAATGTGTGCATTTCTTTTATTTAACAAATGGAGTAATAAACTTTTGCTGTTATTAACAAAATTATATTAGTAACCTACCAATAATAGTAGCAAACACAATGAGAGAAAGGAATTTTTTGCTCGAAATAAATTAATATTTCTGGTGATAACTCCTAACTCTTGTTGGAAGTCATTCAAATGAGTTAAACTCTCTCTCTCTAGAGAAACTCTCCTCCTTCTCACTAGGAAACTTCACTTTCTTCGGAAATAACCCAATCCCTCACCAGCCATCGATGGAACCAATCAATAACCAAGAGGAAGTGCCTCCAAAACCTCAGATATTAATACCTTGCAGGAAAACGAGCCAATCTCTTTTAAAGCCAAACTACTCTCCAATGAACAAGAGAAAACCTTTTCAATATCGTCCCCCTCACCATATTTAATGCCCATAGCCATTGATGCCATCGAGGAAGAAGGGGAACAATTTTCCAATCCACATGAAACTGAATATTCAGTCCCAATAACTGGGGAAGACAAAAAACGTATCTATTATCCATGGAGATTTTCGGTCATTATCAACCTTCAAGGTAAAAAAATATTACACCAAATTCTAAAAAGAAAACTGAATGAGATCTGGAAACCATCAGAACCCTTTCCTCTAATAGACCTCGGTGAGGACTACTATACGGTGAGATTTAATAAAGAAGAAAACATGACTAATGCTCTACACAACGGTCCTTGGTTCATCTTTGGACACTTCTTATCAGTACAACGATGGGAACCTAACTCTGTCCCTTCAAAAGCTAATCAAACACTCACTGCTATTTGGATACGTCTACCACAGCTCCCCACGGAGTTCTACGATGAGAAGATACTACAAAAAGTGGGAAATACAATTGGTCAACTATTAAAAGTGGACGCCTGCACTTCAACAGCTCTACGAGGGCGTTATGCAAGAATATATGTCGAACTACCTTTACACAAACAAGTTAAATCCAGTGTATGGATTGGGTCCCATAAACATAAAATCCTTTATGAGTGTGAAAGACTCCTATGCAAAAATTGTGGTTACCTTGGCCATTCGACTAGTCAATGCAAAATAATGAAGAAACAAGCTGAAACTTCAACAGTAACGAAACCAGAAGAGCAAGGAAAAGGGGAAAACAGTGCCATGCAAGAACAAAACCAGCAGCACAGGAGGAGTAGAAGACAGTTAGCTTCAATAAAGGGAAGAAAAGACAGGGGACGATCGAAATCAAGGATCCTCCGGCAAGAACAGGTATCAATGTAAATATTTTTGACGCCACTACAGGTAAGTTCTTGTCCACCCAAACTCTCAATTACAAAGTTCGTCAAAATATGAATCAATCCAGGGAAAATCTATCTGGGAAAATCTGCTTAATAAAATTGTTAATGAACCCATTAGACAAAACCCCACCCTTGTCAAAAACCAATTTTCTTCCTTAACGGAACAGGACATGGTTTTGGATGAAACCCAAAACCAGATTTACACTAATCAAGATACTAATGATCTTATAGCCATCTATCCAACGGCTGGGGAGAAAAATACTACCCACGCGCCTAACAGTAGGCCCTACCCTCCCCCCCCCCCCCAACAATATTCTATCAAAACAAAGTAACCCCTCCCCTAATAACCCCCCTACTACTGAAAAAACCCCTAAAAATTACATAATTATCAATTGCATGATTCTAATAAAACAACACACCTGTTACACCAGGACAGTCCCTCTCTCCAAATGGCCAATACCATAAAACACGTAGACCAAAAACTAGCTAATACCCTCCAACACACACCCAATACGCTATCCCTTACAAATAGCATGCAAAAGGATTTTTCAATCATTGAAACTGATACTGCAAATTACCAAGGCAACAACAAGATCCCAACTCCTTATATAAGTATTACACCATCACCAGGAAATGCCAAGACTACCATTTTTTCCCTCCAACAGGAGAAGATTCAGGCTTCTTCAAATCATACGCCTAAACCACTCACAAGCAATGGCAAACCAGCAAACCAACAACCCACAAACAAACACACCCCCCACAATCTTCATTCAACCTCCAATGCCGGAGAACCATCAACCACTATCCTGGGTGGAGCTGGGCCTGATGGGGCATGCCATCTCCTTCAACATCATGTTGAATGGTAGAGAACAGTGATTGTTATTCACAACTCTCACTATCTCGCGCAACTGATCTCAGAAGGAATACAGTTGTCAATGAACAACTACATGAATCATCTTTGGCTGAACAATGTTCTCCATCCAATTGCACCAAACCTACCACTAAATGCATCTCAGACTTTGATGGGGGAATGGAATCAACCCCCACACTTTGTTCCAATCTAGAACCCTCTACCACTAGACCTACCCTTCTTCACCCCAGAAATTGCTACCAACATCAATCCCATCTTCACACCATGGGATGCCCATGAAGCCCAGAATCTAGCTCCAAATGCTCAACATGTACATCCAAACACTCAGCAACCTCCAGTACATCCCCATGCACCAAACAACGTGCCTCCCCAAGAGGAAGTAATGGAAGAAGCAGCGGAGGATATCAACTTAATCCCAAAATTGATAATGGAAAATTCAAACCTAGACGAGATAAAAGTATTCATCTTCATGGAAAGGCAAGAACAGAGGCAGATTCTCAAGTGTCCGGTGGCACTCTACAAGTGCACCATGGATATAAGGCCTCCAGCAGACCCAATTGTGGGTCAGCATGCAATGATACTGGTTCCCTTTCAGAGGAGGAACCCAGTACATGCACCAAGGGTGCAGGAGAATGTGGACCTACACAATTGGAATCTAAACATGAATAGGCCCATTTCTTTCATAATCTGGAACGTGAGAGGGGGTAATAGGGATAACTTCAGGATGCCCTTTAGGGAAATGATCGACACCCACCACCCTTGCATGGTTACACTCTTGGAAACAAGAATGGATAACCACATGCCTCTTCTCAACCCTTTTGGATTCACTGACATGATTGAAATCCCGGCTAATGGTCAATCCGGTGGCATGGTCATCCTTTGGAATCATACCCTCGTGAATGTTCATAGCTTTGTGCGTAGGAATCAAGAGATCAGTGCTGTCATTGAGGTAATTCCCACCCACAAGTCTTGGATTTTTACTTCTATCTATGCTAGTAATAAGGTTTACCTTAGAAATGAAATGTGGAATAATCTTATCAACTTGCAAAATAATTTTTTTTCGGGCCCTTGGCTTGTTGGAGGAGATTTTAATGATGTCCTAGGCTCTAGTGAAAAAGATGGAGGAAACAATGTAAATAGAAATCGAACTAGGCACCTTTGGGACTGCATTAACAAATGTGGCCTACTAGACCTTGGGTTTAAGGGTAGTAAATACACTTGGAGTAATCATAGGAGGAAAAATAAGGG